CCAGGTCGAGGCTGTGGTGGCCGGGAGCAGCCATTGCACTCCAGTCTGGGTGACAGAGTGAGACTCCAACTCAAAAAAAAGAAAGAAAGAAAGAAATTAACAAACACCAAAAACACCACAAAGCAATGAGCTAAAATAGGACAATCATGGAAAGACAATATGTTAACATGATCTTACAGCATTTGGTGAACTTAAAATTTGGTGGAAAATCAATTCTAGAAATGGCACCTGTTTTTGAGCACCTGCCCTGAGTGGCATATGAAATGAAAAGCAGAGTCTCAGAAAATATCAGCCTTAGTTATTATACCAATAAAAAGTAGGGCTGCTTTCAGATCAGTCTATTTAGTTACATCAGTAACGGAAGAGTTTTAGCATGAATAAAAGCAGTACAGAGATTCCTATCAAGGATAAAGGAGAGGCCAGGTGTAGTGTACACACTTGTAATCCGTCCCAGCATTTTGTGATGCCAAGACAGGATGATCACTTGAGCCCAAGAGTTTGAGACCAGCCTAAACAACATAGTGAGATTTTTCTACCAAGAAAAAAAATTTTTTAATAGTAAGTATGAAGTTTCTCAAGAGGGAACTAACTTGGCATGTCTGAGAGACAGAAAGTAGGTTAGTATGGCTGTAGCTAACAAGATGGAGAATGGAGGGAGATAAGATTCCTTAGGAGTAGGAGTTATTTTATTCATCTTGTATTTCTAGCACTTAGGGCCACATATGGGAAGGTTTACATAAAGATGAATTGGACAGGGCATCTAAGGACCAGTAGGATTAGAAAAGGTTTAAAGGATGAGATCATAATTTCTAGGTGGAAAAAGAACATGGGTGAAGGGCTGGAGGTAGAAATGTATAGAAGAACTAGAATAGTAGATCTCTGTTGGAGAAAAAAATGGAAATCTGTAAGACTGGAAGATTAGAAGAGTTGGGATTCTAGAATAGTAAATGAGCCCAAGGCAGATGACTGAGTGAGGAAGTCACATGCTGAACACAGTGTTTTAGGAAAATGAGTTATCTGGCAGTGGTGAAAAGGACACACTGGGATGGGTTGTTTGTGCAGTTCTTGGAACCAAGAAGCAAAGTAGGAGAAAGGTTGGAGACTACACGTTTAAAAACACTAGAAACAGAGAGTAAGAGATAGAGAATAAACATGTCTCTGGATTCTGGTAACTAGAATGGAAGCCTCTCTGTCAGATAGAGGCAGCTGGGCAGGGCTCATCCCAACAGAGAACATACTGCTGCTCAGGCAACACACATTTAATACCTGCATTTGAGCCTCAGAGGACTTCAATATTTTAAAAATGCCAGAACAAACTCAGACATTTAAAACAAGCCCAAGCCGGGCTCAGTGGCTCAGCCTGTAATCCCGCGCCTTGGGAGGCTGAGGTGAGTGGATTGCCTGAGCCCACGGGTTCGAGACCCGCCTGGGCAACTTGGCGAGACCTCATCTCTACAATAAATCAAAAAATTTAGCCGGGTGTTGTAGCGCACGCCTGTAGTTCCAGCTACTTGGAAGGTTGAGGCAGAAGGATCACCGGAGCCCAGCAGGTCGAGGCTGCGGTGGCTGGTAGCAGCCACTGCACTCCAGTTTGGGTGATGGAGTGAAACTCCAACTCAAAAAAAAGAAAACAAAAGGAAAGGCTGGGCGCAGAGGCTCAAGCCTGTAATCCAGCACTTTGGGAGGCCGAGGAGAGGGGACCACAGAGTCCACAGAGCGATTACAGGCTGAGCCACCGAGCCCGGCTTTCCTTTTGTTTTCAATCACATCTACAATATACAGACTTTTAAAGAATATAAAAACTTTAGTTTAAGGTAATGATTTAAAATGTTTTTTCTTTTTGATGTTTTAAATTTTTGTTGAGATGGGATCTCACTGAGTTTCCTAGGCTGCTCTTGAACTCCTAGCCTCAAGCAGTCCTCCCACCTTGGTCTCCTGGGTTACAGGCATGAGCCAAAATGCCTGGCCTATTTAAGGTAATTATGTTATAACATCAATGTTCAGGTACTCTGCCATATACCCCCTATGGATCTTTGTTCTACTTATCCATACCTGAAATCATATTGGTTTTTCTGCCTCCCCCCTCCTTAGAATATAAACTCCTGAGGCATTCTGTCTTGCTTATCACAATGTTCTCAATACTTTGAACATACCTGGTACACAGCAGGCTCTCAGTAAATATTTGTTAACAGAAATGTCCTATACATTGTGCTTGGCCATAAGGACAGTGGGTGTCTGTGACTCTGTCATTCTAGGACTCTGAATCATAAACATCCAGGTGAGTAAGCTGTCTAGTATTGGAATAAGCTACTGATAACTACTAGAAGGTCAGTTTTCACTTAAGTGCCATTTATCTTCTGATGAGTTTTGTTTAGTGGACCCTAGTTTTTGCCTCTTCCTCAGAACAACATAAGGACTGCCTCAGTATTATGGGTACGCTCAAAGCTAACCAGGGTTGCCAACATTGCTGCAAATACTGTGTTTTGAGAAGATTGTGGAAAAGCCATGTTGCTGTATGATTTGGCCTGGTAACAAGTTGTCTTTTCCAGAGACTAAGAGCTGTACCCACTGGCACACCCTGTTACCCCAGACCACTTAATTTCTTTGTGCTTTTATTTTCTTCCTTTGTAGAACGGGTTTGGGGAATCGAATGTAAATAATACTCAGGGAAATACAGAATGTATAAAATTCTAATCTTTCTTCCCTCCTAGATGTGAACGATTAGAAGAACAACTAAATGACCTAACAGAGCTCCACCAGAATGAAATCTTGAACTTGAAGCAGGAATTGGCCAGCATGGAAGAGAAAATCGCATATCAGTCCTATGAACGGGCCCGGGACATCCAGGTTAGCATGAAGTAAAAGCAAAATACAGTAGAGTCAGAAAGAAAAAAAGGAAAAGAAAGGAGGAAGAAAATAGATGGGAGGGTGTTATCAAGAAAAACTTATACCTACCGTAGTACATTACTCTTCAAGTGATTGAGATGCATTTCTCAAAAGTCTATATTGTTTTGAGGTGGTATGTCTGCTTGGTTCTTGGGAAAGGTTTCATAGGTCACAGAAGTCTCGTGTATGGAAAACCACATGCACTGAGGATGTTGGCTCATGCCTGTAATCCCAGCACTTTGGGAGGCTGAGATGGGAGGATTGCTTGAGTCCAGGAGTTGAAGACCTACCTGAGCAACGTAGCCAGACCTCACCTCTACAAGAAATTAAAAAATTAGCCAGGCATGGTGGCATGCACCTGTAGTCCCAGCTTCTTGGGAAGCTGAGGGGAGGATCACCTGAGCCCACGAATTGGAGGCTGCAGTGAGCTATAATTATGCCACTGCACTCCAGCCTGCGTGACAAGAGTGCAACTCCAAAAGAAAAAAGAGAAAACCATATGCATCCCATCTACTGGTTACTTCTTCAACACCTGCTCTAAAAAGCGTTAGGGCTGTCTTTCCTGTCTTCTCCTTCTATAGGAAAGGGGGCTTTGTCCCAGCTGCTAAATCTAAGTCTCTTTCAGGTACATTGCCAGGCAGTTTGTGAGAATAACCCAAGAAACAATAATGTTTAAAGCTAACAACTTGTCTATTTTATTATATGAGAAAATAAAATATTTAAAATTTTATTGGGAGCTCTCTGAACCTCTTCTGGGGTTCTGAGGGCCGCCCAATAAAATTTTTTTTTTTTTTGAGTTGGAGTCTCACTCTGTCACCCAGACTGGAATGCAGTGGCCGCTCCCGGCCACGCAGCCTTGACCTGCTGGGCTCCTGTGATCCTTCCACCTCAGCCTTCCAAGTAGCTGGAATTACAGGCATACGCTACCACGCCTGGCTAATTTTTTTTGATTTATTGTAAAGATGAGGTCTCACCAAATTGCCCAGACGGGTCTCAAACCCGTGGGCTCAGGCAATTCACTCACCTCAGCCTCCCAAGGCACGGGATTACAGACTGAGCCACCAAGCCCAGCTAAAATTTTTTTAAAAACAAAAGAATAGTGTCAGG